CACCAGACTACAGATGGTTTGGGAGGCATTGGGTTAAACAGATATTTAAACCACTTCCACGAGACTGCTTATTAACTGCTTCATGGATGGTCTCCACATACCCATAAGGAATGGTCTCCAAAATGCTAGACCTGAGTGGAGAAGTTTAATGGTGATCTGGTAAAGGTGGCTATGGGAGTGGAAGTTAATCTAAATACTAGAAAGAGGAGCACACCTCTAATGGCACTATTTGTCCCTAGAGCTGGTGGCGACAGAAGGCAGGTTGACTGCTGGAATTGTGGCAGGAAAGTACACATTAAACGAAACTGCAGGTGCCCTCCTAAAAATAGAAACCCCCAGGATTCAAATGATAACTCCCATGACAACCAACCAACTCCACCACCTCACCCTCCCCAATATGAAATTGGCAACCCAGTGTTCCTCCATGCTTTAAATATCCGTGACTCAGCTGGACCCTCACCCATTATCAATGTTACACTGCCCGGGGACCTAATAGTCCCTTTTCTACTGGACACTGGTGCAGCCAGATCTATGTTGCAGGAAAAACATGTTCCCGTATGAGATGTTTGAAGATGTATTATCATGTGTAGGGGTGGATGGGATCCCAAGTGACATTCCCCTTACCCACAAACTGAGATTGCAGCCACACGACTCTACTGCCCTGCTAAAAAGATTACTTGTCAGCCCTCATGCCCCTGCTAATTTACTAGGCAGTGATATACCCTTAAGTGTCTGCCCTTAATGCAAATATCCAGTATAGCCCCACTGGAAAAGTAACATTGTCTGTGCCTTTAGAGGACAAACAAATGATATCCCTCTCAAATGTTCTGGCAACTCTCACTATGCCCAACCATGTGCCAGAACCTGCCATTGACTTGTCCTCAGTCCCTGACTCTATATGGGCTACAGGGAAGACAGATACAGGCAGACTCTCTGTGACCCCAGTCAAAGTGAATCTCCTGCCCGGAGAAAAGCGAAACTGCAAGCATGTGTTGAGACTTATGTGTTGGGACGTATTTCCCATGCCACAAAACATCTCACGAAAAGTAGAAAAACTGAAGTTCAAAATATTGCAACCCCCACAGCCTAGCCTAGCTGCGTACATTCCTGGGCCTGGTTTCATATTGCTGACCTTGGCTTCGCAAAGCAGCAATCTACATGCAGCCCCTGTATCACTGCCTCGCCCACGAAAACAAACCCTTTAAGTTAACCCATGCAGCAGAAAATGCTTTTTACACCCTTAAGTTGCTTGTCATCTCTGCTCTGGCACTGGGTATTCCAGATTACAGAAAGCCTTTTACACTGTTCTGTACTGAACAATCGGGTCATGCTACAACTGTCCTTACACAGGACCATGGTGGTAAACAAAGACCAATAGCATACTACTCCACCAGATTGGACCCTGTTGCCAGGGGTGCCCCCTCATGTATTAGGGCAGTGGCGGATGTTACAGCCCTCCTGGACAAAGCCACTGATATTGACTTAGATAACCCAGTGACCATATACATACTGCATGACAACAGCATACTGTCAACAGGTTCAACCAAAACACATACATATCGCAAGGCATCTCAGAATGCAATGTGCCTTGCTTATGCCACCTAATGTTACACTGAAAAAGTGTATGGTGTTAAATCCATCTACATTGCTTTCATTGGATTTAAAAGAGGGGAGTGGGAATGGTACTTGTACATCTGATCTATTTGTAAATTCTCTTTAACCAGATGAGTTAGCTGAAGCCTAAGTGCCCCATGATTGTTCAGCACTAATGGCACAAGAGACAGCAGGTTTTTCGCATGTAATTGATTCTCCATTATCTAATGCAGATTTTGAGTTTTTTGTAGATGGTTCCAGATATGCTGATGAGAAGGGCAATTTCCACATTGGATATACTGTAGTCTCTGCACATGACGTAATAAAAGCTGAACCACTCCCTCTTCACTGCTCTGCACAGGAGGCTGAGCTGAAGGCACTCACTGAAGCGTTCAAACTGGCCTCTGGTAAGACAGCTAATATTTACACAGACTCTCACTGTGCCTTCAGTATAGCCCATGATTTTGGCCCAATATGGCGGGCTCATGGATTTTCTCACCTCAGCAGGTACTCCAATCAAGAACTCTGAAGCCGTGAGTGCATTTATGAATGCTATCCTGCTACCCACTCAAGTAGGCATCATCAAGGTGGCAGTTCACGTGAAGATCACAGATGAACTTTTAAGAGGAAACCACAAAGCAGATGAAGCTGCCAAGCAAGCAGCAATCAAAGTACATCCTTCTACAGGTAATACCTTCCTGCAGTTTGTCCTTCCAGATGATGCAGTTGACTACAATATACTGTTGAGCTTACAAAGACAGGCAAGCAAGGAAGAACATGACCTCTGGAGGAAAAAAGATGTAGAACCTGATGACAGAATGTTTAGGAAAGGTAAAAGACTGTCTGCCACAAGTGTTGTAACCCATGACGGGCCAGATGGCCCTACACATCTATCCAAGATGCACATGAACAGCATAGTAAACACCCATTGGGTAGCACCCGGACTTACTGTTGTAGCAGCTAAACACACCCAAGCTTGCATGATTTGTGCTAGAAAACAATACAGGACAGGCTGTAAAAACACCAAGTAAACATACACCAAGGCCACTTTACGAGTTTCAAAGACTGCAGATCGACTATAGTCAACTGCCTAAGGTAGGAGTGTATGAATATGTGTTGGTGTGCATTGATTTCTTTTAAGGTTGGCCTGAGGCCTACCCATTGTCGAAAGCCACAACGAAGGTAAGCTTCTGAAGGAACTGGTATGTAGATAAGGGGTACCTGAAGTGATTTAAAATGACAGAGGTAGCCATTTCACTGGGAAAATAATGCAAGAAATTATGAAATCCTTAGGGATCAGCCAGGCCTTCCACACCCCTCATCACCCCCAGAGTAGTGGGGAAGTAGAAAAGGCAAACGGCACCTTAAAAAAACAAGATTGCAAAAGCCATGCGAGACACAGGGAAGCTGTGGACTGAATGCCTTCCCCTAGCACTGTTTTCTATGAGATTAAACCCCAATTCCAGACATGGCCTATCCCCTTTTAAGATCCTGTTTGGATGTGCCCCAAAGATAGGCCTCTATTTTCCCCAGACCCTCTATTTGCAGCATGGTAGTATGACTGCCTTTGTACAGGCCCTACACCAAAGATTAGGCAGGGTGCATAAACAAGTCTTTGATTCCATTCCAGATCCAGACTCTGGTTCTGCAACTCACAAACTGCAGCCTGGGGATTGGGTGGTGATAAAGAGGCATGTGAGGAAAGGACTTGAACCACGCTTTGACGGTCCATTCCAAGTGCTCCTGACTACAGCTACCTTAGTGAAACTTGAAGGAAAAGCCACGTGGATACATGCCAGTCACTGTAAACAAATGACTCTGACTGATCCACCGACATGAAGCTGTTCTTATCCTTTACCATTGTATGCTCTGTTCAAATATGCTACTCCAACTTGAGACCAGAAGATAAGAATGCATTGCAAAGAAATATATAGATGCAGATGGCAAAGGCTTTTAATTTAACCTTCTTTTGTCTCAACCTTCTCCTCAGTACTGAAAAACGCCATACAATCTTGTCTTATGGCTGTCCCTACCCCTGTAGCTGTAGCCTGTTCCCTTGCAAAGAGTTTAAACGCCACTTCCCGGGACCTAGAAGAGCTACTTATGGACACCCAGGCAAATAAGAAGGCAATCCTTGTGAATAGAGCAGCCATTGACTACTTACTAATAAAACATGACTTAAGCTGTGAAGCTATTGAAGGTGCCATTTTAACCTATCTGACCATGGCACTATGATCCATAAACATAAAAGATTTACATGACTTAGTACAGGATATCAAACAGGATACTGGCTTCTGTGGGGATTGGGATTGGATATTTGGGCTAGGAACATGGTTGACTTTGCCAATTAAGAAAAATGTTGTACTTTTTGCTATTAGCTGAATTAGTTATTATGGCCATTTTTCTAACCTTTAAGTTCTTCTCATGTCTACTAACCTCTCTATGTAAAAACAAATCTACTGTTGATCGTACCTTATCTTACCTTCCAGCTCTGACTTCGGAAGGTTTTTACAACGTTACCTCGCCTAACAAATAAAGGAACTCTCCTCAGCTGATTCTGGTGGTCTCTTAGTCCAAAGGAACCATGGTGAAGAAATAAATGAAAGTCCCACAGGTTTTGCTAGCATGCCTGGAAATACCTTGGACATTTGGGTGACGCTTGGATCAAAAGAGGGGATTTTGAAAGAATTTACTTTGATTCCAGGTTCAAGCTTATAGGTGTCTTATTAGATAGACTATATTAAAATTTGCTAACTTGGACTCAGGAAATGCTTAAAACGACACTTAAGACCATATATGTCTAGTTCCGGGAGCAGATAACCCCCACCTGAGCTGCCTCTCCTAAATCAGTCAATTCCTTCTCTTTCCCGGAACTTATCTATTATATGTACATGACGTTCATCTTTATGTTTTACCAAACTGGATCTATATCATAACACAAAACCCTGTTCCAGTTCAATTTTGATAAGATAACCCACTAACTCTGGATCCGTCATCGCCGTTTGCAGATTATTGCATTCCAGCGTACCAGATGGCAAGTGTATGATACCCGTGTGAAACCCTTTGGTGAGAAATGTAACCAAATGTTGTGAGTAGTGGTGTTGTAATACAGTAGCAAATAATGTGACATTGATGCAAGTGAGGTACGATTTAGGGAACATTTTATTAGGGCACATTGTTTTAGCTTGACCCCGGAAACAGTAAGCACACACATGTAACCTACAGGAACTAAACCCACAAGTGTTCGCATTAAAATTGTTACATATCAGGGGCTTGCCTAGGAAGACAATGTCCCTACCCAGCTTATCCTTTAAACTTCTGGTTGATCTAGCAGAATTAGGAACGGAGTGGCCCTGCTCAACTTCTGCTGTATTAGGACAAAGGTTGGTAGAGTGTGCCATGGATACACAAACTGCACAAGCAGGAGTCCTGAGGCCTGCAAAATGCCTGCAGAATAACTCAGTATCCAACTTACTCCAGTTTATGCTGTAGGTAAACTGAGTCAGTGCTGCAGCCACTTTTGCAGAAAAGGAACGGTGGTAGTCATAGAAGGCTGTACCACCGTATTTGTGCCCCAGATCCACCAGCTTGTAGCTACAAACTATAAAGGAGAGAGAGTTTTTTGTTTGTTTTTTTAGGGACCCCAAATATTCGCAATACCTATGTAAGAGCCCCTAAAAAAGGAAGCTGTTTCTCAATAGAAGAGGAACAACAGGAGGAAAGTGAAAGAAGACCGAGAGAGAGAGAGAGAGAGAGAGAGAGAGAATTTTAGAAGTAAATTAAGATATGGAAAATATGGAACCCATGAAAAAATTGTAACCTTAAAAAAAAAATTTAAAAAAAAATTATTTAGTGAAGACCATGTAAATGTTTTAAGTAAAGGTTTTAAATTTGCACCTAGTTGCAATTTAAATAAATTTGACATGTTCCTGGATCTTAATAGATTCATGAGGAAATTATGTTTAAAAAATTTTATCCTTTCAAATAAGATCCATAATGAACAAATTAGCTCCTCCCTCTCCTTCCTCCCGCATGGCTCCCAGTGGTTGCTGAGAGGAAGTGACCGGGACACAAAACAAGACACACTCAGAGGTCCTTTAAATGCAACTTTGACCATAATAACAAACAATCTTGAAAAATAATTTCAAAATTCTGGCCAATCTTGAGAAAAGATCCGTTGTTATTTAGTATTCTCCCAAACCAATGAAAAATTATTTACAGAGGGGTTAAATATTTAAAACAAAGTTTGGTTAAAAAAAATAAAAAAAAATCCACCCAAAAACTTTTCAAAACAAAAAGGGTTTTTCGAATGCGGTCTGTGCTCCGTTTGTAGAAATAAGAAAAGTGAAAAAAGACATATAAAAACTCAGGAGATGTTGCTGAACACATATTGGGGTGTTCTTTGTCAGTAACACATAACAGGAACTAAGAATCCATGCCTGAAGTACAATGTGAGAAAAATCACAAAAAATGACTAACCAAACGTTTGACAAAGACTGGTGGTAGAATTAGTGCATGGAAAGGGTTGAAATACCATCATTTGAAATACCCTAGAGAAGTGATGGCGAACCTATGGCACGTGTGCCACAGGTGGCACGTCGGGCCCTCTCTGTGGGCACGCGGCCATAGGTCCCCGGGAGAGGGGGCCGCTGGCTGTCTGCAGAGTAGGCACCTGCCTGCCCGAAACGGCAGGCGCCTACTCTGCTTCCGTGTCGGGAGGCAGGGGGAGGGCTCTAGGAAGCAGCTCTCCTGTCCTCCCGCATGATGCTGTGTGGAGCGTTGCCGCGCGTTACCATGGCAACGCTCCACACAGCATCGCGCGGGAGGTCAGGAGAGCTGCTTAACACAAACCTACTTACCACCACCAGACCACCAGGGATAGCTGTGTCCCCCTCCCCCCACTCCTTCACCAAAGGTAAAAGGGAGGGAGGGAAGGAGGGGGAGGGATACAGAATTAATAAATATATATATTTTTTTATTTTTTTAATGTACCCCTACACATCACATCACGCCTACCCCCCACACAGCACACTACCCCGCATACACAGCACCCCTCAATGCAGTATGTGTGTGTACTTAGCAGACAGTGTGTGTGTGTGTGTGTACTCAGCAGTCTGTATGTGTATTTAGCGGCCGGTGTGTTCAGCAGTCTGTGTGTATGTATTGCATTTGTTGGAGATACTAATAAATATAAGCTTTATTTTATCTATTTATATCATTATTTAAAATTTGTATCATTGAACTCTGTTGTGTTCTTTTAAAACAAAGTTGTTAATTAGTTCGGACACCTGTACGAGTTGTTTTTTCTAAACTTAAACCTCAGTATTCAGGTTTAATTGCCGTGTTGGCACTTTGAGGGAAAAAAAGTTGGCATGTATTGCGGTTTGGGCACTCGGGTTCAAAAAGGTTCGCCATCACTGCCCTAGAGTGTCTACTTTTCAAAAATATATGGTTTGATGGGGTAAATTACATTGGCTGGCATCAAAACTGTCCCAAATAGGACATGGCTGCATGATGACCAGCTGTGAAAATTCCAAGTTGGAAAACTGGATTGCGCACCCTCCAAATAAGGTCTTTTAGCCCCCAGAGAACCCGACACACCTATATATGGTTGGTATCACTGTACTCGGGAGATGTTGGTGAACACATATTGGGGTGTTCATTGGCAGTAACCCTTAGAGTTCTCAGTACATGTATTCTTAAATTGCCATGTGTGTCAAAATAAATCCCCAATTATTTATTTATTTTAATTTGGAATAGATTGGTGGTAAAATGGTTGCACGAAAAGAGTCAAAATACACAGAGTTTAATACCTTAGGTTGTCTTCTTTTAAAAAATATATACATAAATGTGAAGGGTTATTCAGGGATTCCTGACAGATATCAGTGTTACAATGTAACTTGCAAAGTGCTACTTGTACTTATTGCCCTATAACTTTCCAATAAAAAAGCTAAAAACATGTTAACATTGGGCATTTCTAAACAGAGGTCAAAATTTAGAAACTATTTAGCATGGGTGTTTTCTGGCGGTTGTAGATGCGTAACAGATTTTGTGGGTCAAAGTTCGTAAAAGTGTTTTTTTAAAACATTTTCATCATATTTTATAATTTTGTTTATAGTAAATTATGATATTAAAATAATGGTACCTTTAGAAAGACCATTTAATGGCGAGAAAAATGGTGTGTGGGTACAGTAAATAAGTAAGAGGAAAATTACAGCTAAACACCAACACCTCAGAAATGTAAAAACAACCCTGAACCTTAACGGTAAGAAACTTGAAAAACGGTCTGGTCACTAAGGGGTTAACATATATTGTCAGGGCCCACATCTCACTTACCTGGAGTTCCCTAGCTGCATTTCTCTCCATGGCTGGAGCAGTCCCTCTTCGGTGCATGCCGTACCCTCCGTTGTGTTCACTGCCTAGGGTGGAGAGCTGGCATCTTGGCCTTGCACTACAACAGTGTCATGGCTCTGCCAATCTTGCCAAGGCCCACAATTGCTCTTCAGTCTTGGCCAACACTATTTACCATACCGGGGTAGAGCTCTCACATTCTCGTGAAGTCATGGGTTGGACACATGTCTAGAGCACAGAAAATGGTTCTATGACTGTTACACAAATACAGCAGCGTAACAGCAACGTGTGTCTTAAGTGTTAACACAGTCACAGAGGTGATACACCAATGAGACACTCCAGGGGTGTCTCGAGGATAAATGGGGGGGAGGGAGGAAAAAATAATAACTAAAAAAAAATATATATCATTTTGGCTGATTTTTAATAAAGCCAGTCATGTGCATTGTTTAGTAGACCTGTCACATTAGATATAGGATTAGCCTTATAAGGCCAAGTTGTTTATGTATATAGTTTGTAAATAATTTAAGTTTCTGTTGCAATCATTTCCACCTCTTTTTTTCCTATTTTTCTATCTAGTCAGATTTAAAGGGAGAGAGGCATCCTACAATTTTCCTCCTTATATCCCCCTTCTTACCACTCTATGCGAAAACCAGCCATGCTGAATTAACACAGCCTTTGACTCTGTATTAAGCACAGCACTTGACAAACGTATATCTTTCCACAAATTTTGGTACTATACTGCAATTACCATCACAACATGCTAGTATTATCGATACTATTGGCATGATTACTTTGCATACTATTTTGATACACATACTTTGATGACATTTGCTCAAATCTGACTAATATACACACAGAATCTACCTTACACTAGACCTACTTGTTTAGCAACAATTAAGCCGGCCATGTATACTGTGTGGTAGACCGGTCTCCTCTAATATAGGAATAGCCTTACAAGGCTAAGGAATTTATGTATATAGCCATTTTGCTTATAAGTTAAGTTTTTGTTAGATTTGGCTCCACCACCGAGATTACACCATTACTTTAGATACTGGTATATATCCAAGGGATAATACAATACAATATACACACTACTAAAGATAGTAACTGTAGTGAAATGTATACAAATACTTAGCTTAATTATTGCAGCCTCCCAAGATCGTTACCCAAAGAAGACGACCTTTTATACAGATAACACAAGCAACACAAAACTTCGGGATACGGCTGAAAATTAATCTAAAAGGAACATAAGAATATACAAAATAGTGAAGTACAATTAACACATTGTTATGCGCTAAATACAGATGCACTCACAGAATTGGGTAGAATATATCGCTCATAAGGTGCCTCCCCTGGTTGAAGTGGGGGGTTAATGATCCCTTGGCTCCTTGAGACTTCCTTAATAATACTCAGGACTCCAAAACGAGCAATGGTAGAAAAAGATGTATTTATTGATAAAAAGTGAATAATCACCATCAATATAAAGTATAATAAAAGAGAAAACGGTATGGTCCTACGCGTTTCGTTCTGCAAAGAACTTCATCAGGGACCTTATATAAAAGATAAAATCAATATGCCATTACAACATATAAAAAAAACATCCTATTCCCCCCATCCCTGAGTCCTCTTTAAATAGGGCTAATCCCAAAGTCCATTGGTGGTTCTGTGGGTGGTATCCAGGATCCGTTATTTGATTGGCCCTGTGAGGGAGCTGTCCAGCTGTTTTCAATCCTCCTTACATTGCTATAATCGAGTTTGGCGTGTTCAAACAACCGGAACCGGAAGTAACGGTTGTATCACACTTCCGCATTCCACTTGCGTTCCATATGCGTTCCACCTGCGGCTCAAATGCGTTCCACCTTCGTTATACTTCATTAATATATAATCAAAAAAAACAATAAAAGGCAATATATTCTATCTGCTAAAAAGAAAAATAATATTAATAACCTTATTTTCTATAGTTTTGGTATAATTTAAAATTATAATCAATCCCCATTACTTATTATTATCAAACAGTGACACACATTATTTCTTAAAGTGAAAGGTGTATAAAAAATACACATTTATATAGTATATATAATCCTATCATCAGGAAGAATTATGTTTAAAGTGAAAACATACATAACTGAACTGTATGATATATATCAATATCCATGAATTATTAATATGTGATTAATGCTACAAAATTTTAAAAAATATAAATTTTATAATGTTCCTATAGAGAGTCTCCAATATTAAATGGAGTTACACATATATCTAAT